CATTTTTACTTTTCTATAAAATTCAACAAGTGGTGACTGGTAAAGTAACATTATTGTTTAAAAACTGACATTTTTATTTGGTTACAGCATTTAGAACACAAACTCCATTTAAGCAGGTAAATAWTCAGGAAGAAATGTGACTTTTCCCCTCGCAGTGCAGTCAGGTCATTCTACTAAACATGAGGCCCACTTTTGATCCAACAGAAAAGTGGTTTGGCCCCCCTCACACCAGTCAAATACCCCCTAGGATGTAAAAAAAATGAAATCAGTCAGCTTGTGAGTGGTCTTCACTGGGTCTTGTATTGTATAACGCTGGTGTTTTTTCAGTGTTCAATGGGATGAAATCTTTTTTTTTTTAAATCACGTTTACATGCAAGTGCTGCAGTAATGTGTCAGGCAGGGTTGCCATATGGGACATGGTAAAATGTGGTACTGTCCCTTTAAGATTAAATTATTTGTTCAGTGAGTGTGTYGTAAGATAAGGTGTRTGCTGTATTTGATGAAACTGTCCACAAAAAAGGARGGGCAAAAGACAATTTTTGTTTTTATCTGGCAACCCTGACAGCTCAGCTGCATGCAGTGATCATGAACTGACAGCTTGACAGTTACATCTAAACTAGTGAATAAATTGATATTCCTTTGGATCTCAGCTTTGCTCCTAAATGCTGCAAAGGGTGAGTAGCACATAAAAAACACTGTGTTTATATTGTAATTGTACAGTTAGAAAAAACTTTCAATAAGTTTCAATAAGTGCCGGGGACTCTGATGACTGGTGATGTGTAAAGAAGCAGCGGGATCTCCACAAAAATGTTGATGTTCCACTGAAAACCAGCTCCACATAAATGGGGCCTGAGATTGCAGTGGGCTCCACATATTAAGTGACAGAGCAGAATACGTCCACAACGGTTTTAAGCATTCCTTCATCTTCCATAGCAAGGTTGAGCTGTATTAGTGTATTATCTTGTGCATAAGGGTAAAAAATGAAAAGTGTTCTTATAATGCAGCAATATGGCTTGGAAAACAAGAATTTGAAGCAGGACAGAAACAACTACGTAGCTGCATCCTGACTCAGCAATGGTTCCCAAACTTTTCAGCCTTTGACCCACAAAATAGCAGCAGCAGAGACCTGWGMCCCCAGCTGTTGTYGGTTGATGAACATTGTTTTCACATCAAAATAAGCAAGAGCATAGTTTCATTATTTCTCATGCTATTTTTGTCCATTTAAGTACACTTGTTATTTTGTAAAAACAAAAGAAAAAATGTTCTTAGTTTTCATTTTTTAGTGTAGTTATCTCAATAAATATTTTCAGGACCCCACCTTGATGTTTCAGGACCCCACTGTGGGTCCTGACCCCAACTTTGGGAAGCACTAGTGTAAAACGTGTGGTGAGGGAACAGGAGAGTGTCAGGGATACAGAAAGGACGAACACTGTAGCTGTGACATCATCACCTTTACAATGTAAGAGATTTTCCAAAATTACTACAATCCGAGTCAACATTAWGTGTGAAGGAGTCTTACAAAAGAAAAATAAGGGCTACAGAATTATAATTTTACAGCCATCAAATCTAAATTTGGYAAATTTGCTTCCACTTATTAAATAAACATTTTTGCTACCACTAGTTGGGAATAGAAATTAAATAAATTTAGCAAAATCCTTTATTTACAGTCTCCTCAAAAAGCTCCAAGGAGAACGACAAAAACAAATCACCTACAACTCACTGCAAGAGGCAGCTCCAACTTCACACTGCAGTTATCTGCATGCAGCTTTATCTCCTGTAAATGTGTTTACCTGAGGTCCGCTGCAGCTTGTAGAGGGACAGACAGGACAACAAATCATGTGGACGCAAAAGTGGTGAGAACACACACGCCTGTGTTGTCCTAATGGCAGCATTTGTGGAGGGCTGATTGAATAAGGCTGGGTGCTGATTGCTCGGCACATTGATTAATGCTGCCTGCTGTGCTCCGGTGCGTCACGGCACTCTGAGTCCTGCAGCAGAATACCAATAAGACAATAGGCTCTGCGCAGAGATGAACCAACTAATCACACTATGAGCCGGTTGGTGAGTTTACTCATACTTGTWTCTGGCTCGATGGGAAACAGTAATTATATGTAGTAACATCAGGTAATTTTGTTTGCAGTTTGAGTACATAAAAGGCGACAGTGAAGGTATTAAAGGCCTAGGGAGTATTAGTTTGCAACCGGATTAAACAGTTTTCTTCAACTTTTAAATAAAAATAAATTAAGAGTGGATAATCTGGATTACATCATTAGTGAAGTGTGAAAGTGTGAYAAACTCAGTTCTGCCACATTAAATGTTTAATCACAGTAGAGAATAAATGYCTACTTACACCTCTAATACACTTTCAGCGACATCACATGTTGTAGTCCACTTGATAATGTTACAAAATGTTTCAACACAGAAAAAAAATCAAAAACTGTCAATCACCAGGCTACTTTATAATTAACCAAGCTCTAATCAGCATTTTCCCAGCATGATTACAAAAATTCATAAAAAGAGATGTCAAGAAGAGAGGGGGATTCCCTCAGAATGCTCTCCTCTCTCGCTTCCTTTCCTCCCTCAGTGGTGGGAAGCATTGAGCGAGGGAATGGGAAATGACAAAGAACAGCACCACTGCTCTGCCTTGCACACTTCCTGTTTGCCCTCCCTGTGTCACTTCCTGTTTGAAGTGTTCAACTTTTGGACCAGAGTTCGACCAGTGTTCCAGCGTCCTTCATGCATGAAATTTGAACAGATATTATTATTATTATCATAACAACGCCAAATACAAAACATGTATTTAAAGCGTCCTTGTCAAAAAGCCACACTGAAAGAGGACGAGTTAGTTGCAAAGAACAAGGCAGGAAGTCCATACTGAATACCTGTGACCTTCAGGCCCTCATTAAAAACTGGTTTGATTTTGTTATAGATATCACAGCGTGGGCTCAAGATCACTTCCCCAAATTAYCTGTGAACACAGTTCCTTGTGGCATCAACAAATTCATTCCTGGTCCACTTCCCTCTTACTTTTGTCATTAYATATCAACATCTATTGTCTGAGCTTAAACAACTTCCTCCTAATGTCTGTCCCCAAGGTCTGCACTGGTTTTGGTTAGCAGGCTTTTGACCCTGCAGCCTGGAACCACCAGCATCTCTAACCTTGAGATCTGACCTCAGTTAGGACATAAAAATTATCACTTTTTTTTGGCCAGTGTGAATACAATATGCATTTACTACATTTGCAATCCATTGTATTCTGTTTTTACTTACATTTTACATCACCACTTTTTCAAAACTGGGGTTGTAAAAAATGACCATTATCTTTAATGACTGTGTGTAATCGCACAAGCTACACATAACGACATCTGYACACAGAATCATGCGACATGTTTTGATTTGATTTAGAAAATTGTGTTTTGTCCACTCTGAACCACAGTGGTTTAGTTAAATTTGCAACATTTTTGCAAGTGGTTCTTTTGGCTTTAGCTGCCTCGTAAAAAGYGAACCCACAGTTGTGAACAGCAGCAGTAATATAACTCATGAGTGGTTCACATAAAAAGAGTCCAACTGTGTTTCCCTCTCAGAACCATAATGGGATTATTGTGTCTGAATAAAGTTTTTATTTATTTTGAACTTATATTGCCTTTGTGCAGAATAAACTTCTGTATTGAACTGTTTATTATTTCAGAGGCATTTTACAAGCTTTTCCTCAACTAAAGATGGCAGCGTTTTTCCTAGAACAGCCCAACCTGCTCGGGGATTTTCTATCTAAAGTTTAACATTGTAACAAAGGTGTTCTGAACAAGGTGACATTATGTGTGCACTAATGCTTCCAAATCATCATTAGCATACAGACATGATCGAAGTTTAAATTCTCAAAAATGCTTTGTGAAGTCAAATGAATTTGATTTAGAATGACACTGTATTCTACGTCAGATTTGGTACATTTGCCTCACTGAAACAACAATTCTTTTGATTTATTTCATATGTGTGTRCTTCCCAAGAGCCACTGGCTTAAATCCAATGTCAACATTTGTCTTGAAATACTACTTGGAGCTAAAATCAATCCATAAAACATTTAATCAGCTCTGTAAAGGCAACATAAAACTGCACACAGTATGTGAATGTAACAGCAGAACTTCAAGAATTCAGAATCCTTAATATGAAACTGAAAGATCACGTTGCTTTGCAAAGTATAATTGTTCCAAGTTATTTAAAGTTTTCTCCATAAAACAAAGGAAAAATAATAATCTTGAGTTTAGGCAAAATAAGTTAATATATTCATATCTAAATGCTAATATAAGAAAACCAATAGTACCCATTCAGAGCAAACCTCCCCCAGGCCTGCATGACCCAACCATCCAGTGAACACCAGAACAGATGGATCAAAAATGTCTTTGTGAATTCTTTCATTTGTATGAGTGTTTACATAAACAATAACAYTCATAAATAAACATGAAGCTTCAGAAAGCCGAAGCAGAACAGAACGATCTGAGGGTTAAACGCGCACCAAAGCAAACAGATCAAGTTTATAACAACACAAYCTCTGCGACTGCGTCACCAGAACGGGAGTCTACAAATCCTACCCACGATGCTTTGTGCTTTCTCATCCTTCCTTTCTCACTCGTCTTCACAGTCRATCAACACAGTTCGAGTGTCATTTTTCACGGTT